ATTGTACAGTGGCATAATGTACACCTCTGCGGGACCTCTTACCTCTTCGGGGATAAAAGGCGTGATGTTATGTATGTATGTATTTTTTTTGTGTATTTAATTTGTCTTTATATCAAAAACTTATTTCAATAGGGTAGACGACTAATTTTTATTTTAATGTCCGTCTGGTAGATTATTTAAAAACATTAGACACGTATTTTTTATTTTCTTACGGAAACGAATAGTTTCGAAGATATATTGATTTGAAATGTCGCGTGACGTCACTTCTCAGTACATTTTATACTAAGAAATGACGTTTTAGCCCCCACTCCTAAACTTTGATTCGTTTTATCTAAGTATTGTTTTATTATACAACAAAATAAAAAAATACGTGTCTAATATTTTTTTATTACCTAAGTTACGGACTAATTATATTTTTAATTTTCATACCCTGTCATCATCCCCATTGTTTCATATTGTATGTACATTATTTTCTTATATTTTGATGATTTTTGTTATTTTCTTTATGCTTTTATGTTTGCTTTTGGTATTATGTATTTGTGTAAGTATGTACTTGTATTTTTTATTTTTCATAATCTTTGTTTGTGTGCCATGTGTCAAATAAATGCTTTTTCTTTCTTTCTTTAAATAACCATAATCTACCGTTGTTCAAAATTTCATCTCGATCCCTTCAGCAAACGGCGACGTGAAAGAATAACAAACACATACGTACACACACATACATCCTCACAAACTTTCACATGTATAGCATTAGTAGGACAGTATAGTAGGATGTGTATGTGAAATCGTATGTCGGAACTCCTGTACCGTGGGTGCATTTACAAACATACTGACACGATACATACGACAACAAACGTTTTCTCCTGATAGTTCTAGTGTGGCAACGATTTCTTTAAAAGCTCAAAAAATATTCATGGTACACACGGCTACACATCGAGCTTTACACAACCAGTATAAACTGAACCTGAACTGAACTGACTGCCTCGTTGGCCGAGTGATCGCAATTGCGATTGCCGGGCAAGAGGTCTCGGGTTCGATTCCCGGGTCGGGCAAAGTATTACTGGGTTTTAAAAAAAATCTCAGTAGTAGCACGGAGTCTGGAATTGTGCCCGGTATATGGCAATAGGCTCACCCCCTATTACATGGGACTCATAACATAATTAAATAGTGAAAAGTGGGTGTTACATTGTACAGTGGCATAATGTGCACCTCTGCCTACCCCTTCGGGGATAAAAGGCCTGATGTTATGTTATGTTATGTTAAAAACTGAACGTTAAATGTGCGGAAAGATGATGCGACGCGAGGCCAGGATAAACTGGTTTTGTATAGATTGATCTGTGGCCGTGTGTACTATCATCAGCAGTCCGTGACATTAGATTAAAAATTCTTTATGTATACAGGATTAAAAAATCAGGTTGTCATCCTTACTAATATTATAAATCGGAAAGTGAGTTTGTTTGTTTTTTTTGTTCCACTTTCACGCCGTAACTACTAAACCGATTGCTTTGAAATTTTGCAGACGTAAAGTTAGAAGTCTGGATTAAATAACAGAGTACTTTTTATCCCGGAAAAATTTGATATTCTCGAGGGAAAACAAAATTATTGGTATAGATGGCGCTGTGTGTATTGGTATATGTCACATAGGCTACTTTTTATCCTTTTGTGACGCGAGCGAAGCCGCGGGTAAAAGCTAGTAAATAATAATGCACAAACATATATATATATATTATCTATAAGCATTGCTGTCCAGTTTTCATCAGAGTCTCGTCCCTTTAGTACGTTTTCACATTAACGGATAATTATTATCAGATGTGAAATTCAGAGGTGAACTTTTTTCTTACTGACTAAAAACCACCCCGTTCCTACTCCAGCTCTTTGAGCCGCAGCCCCGGTAATCCGCTAGGTCATCTACAGCTCCGGATCAGGCATCAGGACTGTTGGGCCCCTCTGTGGTGGACTGATGGCTTTTTGAGGCTCGCGAAACGTGACTCTTCGTACGCTCAGGTCTGGGTCAGAGAGCTAGTCTTGCTCGCCATTCGCAAACCTGTACTTTCGGCGGCCAGATATCGTAACGCAATGTCCGACACGAATCGAAACGGAGGATATGTTGTTTTATAAATACATCTGTATTTGTCTAGTCTGGAATAATATACCTCTACATATCAGGGTCTAATTTTTATTGTGGTAACGCGGGCGGAAAGCAAAACATAGTCTTATAGAAATCTAGAGGCGGGAAAGCATTCTGGCGTGTTTTTTGATCCATTTTTTGAAATAGGTGACCTTAGTGTAAACTTCCATAGATTTGCGGACACTCGGTATGCCAAAGGAGCAAATCCCGATTTGAATGTTGTCCCGCACTACAAGAGCGCTTCCGGAGTCACCTCTGGAATGAGAGCAAGATTTTATTGCACGCAAATAAAATGATAATTCCTTGATATTTGCAACTTGAATTGAAATCTAATAAATTTTAAAAAATTCACCGAACACAGTGTTAGTGGTTGTAAGTGTGGAGGGCCATGCGTCGGCACGAATGGGCCGGCTCGACCGGAGTGATACCACGGCCTCACAGAAAACCGAAGTGAAGCAACGCTTGCGTTGTGTTTCGTCGTGTGAGTGAGGTTACCGGAGGCCCAATAACCCTCCTCTTCCCCAATCTCCCCAATATCTGAATCCCCAACGATCTTCAAACTCCTAATCCCCAAAAGGCCGGTAACGCACTTGTAACACCTCTGGTGTTCCAGGTGTCTATGGGCGACGCCGATTGCTTATCATCAGGTGATCCGTCTGCTCGTTTACCGACTTATGCCATAATAAAAATACAGTTTACGTTTATAATGTTAGCAATACAGTCCTACGAGATTATTCATATTTTTGGTTTGATGTCGTCGTTTTTACTTTTCCCACGTGGGAGAACCATGCTTTCGCACTGCTCAACCTCAGTTATAACTATAGCTTCACAAAAAGCTTCCTCTCTTCATCCCCAATCCCTAAGTCATCAATCCATGTTCCTGCCGGTCATGCGAGTGTCCATAGACAGCGCCGATTATTTACTATCAGGTTACCTATATTATAATATACTTGTATGCTACCCAAAATCATAAAAATATCTTACTTTGTTACATAGGTCTCCTCAAAATTGCTATCCCCACAAAAGTACCTTGGAGTTAATCTTCCACCCATAAATTTATTGCATTTAAATTCAGACAACACATCTTGATAGATAGCGAATAGATATTTAGGTCTCTCCGTTTCATGTTTCAACTAAAATTAGTAATTAAAAAATAAAACGATTAAATTTATTCACAAAGATTTTCATTTTTTTGAATGTGGCAAAATTTTTGAATGTGTGAAATGGCAGAAGTATGTAAGCGTGCTTAGATTAAGTTAAGGTGGGAAAATCATCGAATGACTGCTCCCGTCTGGGTGAGGCGGGAGGGAGTGTCAGACTCTTACTGACTAAAAACCACCTCGTTCCTTCTCCTGCACGTCGAACCGGAGCCCCGGTTACCCGTTAGGTTCTCCGCGACTCCGAATCGGCATCGACCCTATTGGGCCCCATCTGTGGTGGTTTTTTTTTTTTTATGGCATAAGCCGGTAAACGAGCAGACGGATCACCTGATGGAAAGCAATCGGCGTCGCCCATGGACACCTGGAACACCAGAGGCGTTACAAGTGCGTTACCGGCTATTTGTGGATTAGGAGTTTGAGGATTGTTGGGGATTCAGGGATTGGGGAGATTGGGGAAGGGGAGGGAAATTGGGCCTCCGGTAACCTCACTCACGCGACGAAACACAATGCAAGCGTTGCTTCACGTCGGTTTTCTGTGAGGCCGTGGTATCACTCCGGTCGAGCCGGCCCATTCGTGCCGAAGCATGGCTCTCCCACACTTAAAACACTTAAAACACATCACATCTGATGGCTCTTTGAACGCGACGCGCCGTACGCTCGGGGCTAGGGTACCTTAAGGCGGCTTCGGGCCTCTTCGGCCACATCTAAGGACGTTGTAGCTAATTTTGGAGAGCCTCAGAATAGATCGGGCGGTAGAAACATCGCAGAGCAGTCTTAACCTTACGTGATAACAATTGTGCGTGGGTATTTATAATGATGGATAGGAACTTAATTCTCATTGTTCATCTTAATGAAGGATGGCTCCCAAGCTACCCGAGGACCGCCTCGGCGTCTTTAGCCATGCTTACGGCGACGAAGCACCCCGAAGTCGCTCGACGCATCTCTAAGGCGCGCAAAGCTGCTCGAGCGGCGTAAAGCGCTCGAGATTTACCGAGCCACACTGATGCCAACCGATAGTGGGCGCCGGGCCTTACTCCTCTGACTTACAGATAGTTTAGTGTAGTTATAAAATAAAGAGAATTAATGGGAATGAAATATTTACTAAATTTAACGCTGTAAATGTATCATATATGAGTAAGGCTAAAGTGTGGGAGAGCCATGCTTCAACCGGAGTGATACCACGGCCTCACAGTAAACCGACGGGAAGCAACGCTTTCGTCGTGTTTCGTCGTTTGAGTGAGGTTACCGTAAGCCTAATTACTCCCCTCCCCAATCTCCCTAATCTCCCCAATCCCCGCATCTCCAACAGTTCTCAAATTCCTAATGCCCAAAAGTCCGATAACGCTCTTGTAACGCTTCTAGTGTTCCAGGTGTCCATGGGCAGCGCCAATCGCTATCAAGTGGCCCGTCTGCTCGTTCACCGGCTTACCCCATAAAATAAAATAAATCTTATGTTGACCATAATATTATTGTTTACATAGAAAAATTATCATTAATTTTGTATCCTTGTAACAAGATGGCTAAAGTTTGGACAAAATAGGACGTCGACCAGGAACAAACTCAATGAAGCTGAGCGGACGGTGGAGCTTCTTCAAAAGAAAGGAAAACTCATAAATTGGGTATTTTCAACAATATTTTAACTAGTGATCTTTTTTTTTTTAACTACTAGCAACTATCACAGTAAGTGTGATATCATTGTTTCATCAGCATGCCATGCCACTGAGCTCGGTCTTCAGCTCTTCTCATCCAACCACTGCTAGTCTTGCGGATGTTGTCATATCATCTAGCTGGAGGGTGTTCTACACTACCTTTGCCTAGATGCGGTCTCCACTCTATAACACGTTTACCGCAACGGTTATCGGTTCTTCGACAAATGTGACCCACTGCCACTTCAGTTTACTGATCCTTTGGGCTATGTCGATAACTTTGGTTCTCTGTCATACAATTGTTCTCAGCGGGTCGCCTCCCAAAGTTGATCAGGAATACATCTACCTGGGACAAACCTTGCAGCTTGCTAGGAACAGCTTTGAGATGGAGGCCCGTAGAACGATGTAACTTGGCTGGGCAGCGTATAGGAAACTTAATCAAGTCTTCTCGCCAGCCTGAAGACAAAACTCTTCAACGAGTGCGTCCTTCCAGTAATAACATTATAGTAACAAAATTAATAATTAAATAAATCTCACCTGTATACTTCCCCAAGCCGCTAGCAACGCTGTCTCGTTATATGGCGGATAAGCTGTTATGATTACTGGCTTCATTTTATCACTAAATTTCATTTCAGTTTTGAGTCGCAGCAAACTAATGTCGTAACCCATGTCCCGTTTGCCATATTTTTTATGAATATACAATCCCTTTATAGTAGATTTGAATCCTTCTCTCAATGTATTAGAACCTGCGGTCACTGAATAAATACTACTAGTAAAATTGCAGAGATTGATACAGTGTGCGGCAGTCAGTGCTAACTTTGTAGTGAGGATTGATGCTCCACATATGTACATTTTTTTCTTATGCGTTGATAATTCATTGCACATAACATGCAAGGCCATTACATGAGGGTATTCTTCAATTGTGACCTTGAACCCACCATGTACCAACGGTTGTTTGCGACACTGAATAAAGCCCGACAAACTCATCACAATGAAAAAGATATAAGTATTCATGATGACATTTAATTCTCATGCACAAGACTTGGTTTGACAAAGGTACTGTTGATTCTAATTGTATTATGAATCGTGAGGTTAATTGCTCTGGTACAGTTCTTAATTAATTTTATGGCAATTGTAGCGATTTTATGATATTTTTATGGACAGATTGGCCATATTGACCGAGTGGTCCTAAGAGCGACTGCCGGCCAAGAGGTCTCGGATTGGATTCTCAGTCTGCCAAAGTATCAATTTTGACAAAAAAAATCCAGTAGCAGAACGGAGTCTGGAATTATTTATTGTGCTCGGTATATGGCAATAGGCCTACCCCCCATTATATGGAACTTATAACATAAATAGTGACAAGTGGGTGTTACATTGTACAGTGGTATTAAGTGCCATAATGTGCACCTCTGCCTAGCCCATCACGCCTTTGTCTCAATATTTTATTTTATTATTGAGTCAATTAGGTACATCAAATTAAAGTTTTTGAAACACTAATAGGAACAACAGGACATTGTTTTTGAAGGAATTGGTTTTTCCATTGGTGGTTGGCCCACTTCTCATGCATGAGGGTGCGGGTTCGAAACCTACCAACGGCAAGTACCAATGTGACTTTTTCCGAGTTATATGTACTTTCTAAGATTATTTAGACACCACTGACAAACGGTGAAGGAAAAACATCGTGAGGAAACCTGGACTTATAATTTCTAATTATAAGTTTGAAATTGCCAACCCGCATTGAGCAAGCGTGGTGATTAACGCTCTAACCTTCTCCGTGTGAGAAGAGGCTTTGCTCAGCAGTGGGCATTTATAGGCTGTTGATGATGATGATGATGTGCATACATAATAATTATGTACCTATAGAATACTAATGACTTCCACGCGGCTTCACCAAGTCTCAGTTCCAATTTCCTTGGAGTCTAACGGTTCGTACGTTTTAGATGGCCACTATTGGACAAGACTTCATTTATTATTTTTAGCTTTTATATTATTTTTATTTTTAATTATGTTATGTGTGTTCTGCGGAAAAATAAATTGTTTTTCTTTTTTCTTCTTTCTTTCTTCGTTCTATTGAATAGGGTAGACATTCGTTTGACATTTCACTCTGTGGAATATTTGAAAATGAAGAAGCTAAGTTAGCCCTTCATTTAATTTAATTTTCCCGCGTATTTTGATTTGGACTTTATATAATCTGTGTCTTGTATAATCTGTGGTGACAGCTTTCTTCCACTATGTCAAGGACAATGGTTTTGTTTCGTCTCGAGATTTTAGAATAAGCACGAAAGATATTTGTGGAAATTATTTTAAAATAAGGATACAAAGGATTGTTTGAAGCAATAGCTCTTAATGTTGTTTCTTTTACAGGTTAGTAGACAATAATGTTTATCTAATACTAATTACCTAAGTGAGTTGTGTATTTGCAAGACCATTTCATGTGTTGTGTTGTATTTATGAATAAACTTTCTTTTACAGAGCAACAACTATAATTAATAATAATTTATTTCATCAACTATTATGTACATACCAACAAAATATTAGGAAAAAACCAGTTAAGCAAGATAATGCTTGTGGTAGGCGATCCTACTATACCAAGGACATCAGCTAAACATATATTATAAGTTTATAAAAATAAATAAAAAGAAAGAAATTTAGAATTAAACAATTATAAACTGAAAATTAAACTGTCAAACACCAAGCGGTCACCGGTGACCGCAACCTATTGTTCTATAATTGTGTCTACAAAACCGGTACTCGACGAGTTAAAGGGTATAAGTAATGTGAACAACATAAGTATTTTGTTTCAATAACCAACATATTACATGTTTATAAACAAAGATTTTCCAGCTTGAGAACCCTTGAAAGACGCTAGTAGTTAAGATACGGTCGCCGTGGCCGAAAGCGGCATGGACGATATACTGAATTGAATAGAAAATTGAGCCATTATTGAGTTAGGTTAGCGGTTGCGTGGTGTACGTTGTCATATAACAAGACATACTAAACTGATTTTAATGTATATTTCAAAAATTGTATGTCACGTCCAATTAAACTGTCGAACACCAAGCGGTCACCGGTGACCGCAACCTATTGTTCTATAGATAATTGTGTCTACAAAGCCGGTACTCGACGAGTTGATTTAGTTTTCATTAATAGTCCTCTTATCTCAGAGTTATGACAGGCTCCAATTAAACTCGCACAATCAAACTCAAATCAGCCTTTGATTATACCTTCAAGAAAATAACGCACTTACTCCTGTTTAACTACTTCAAACTTCGATCAACAATAACAACTAGATAAAGGGTTACGTACAAAATCAAGCTCCAGTTCTGTCCGTGTGAATAATAATAGTAAAAAAATAACAAACAGAGAAAAATGTTTTAAAATAGTTTTAAGTTCAACCTAATAACAACCATGGCACCTAATAATAAAGTCATAAATCGTCAAAATATTATCTAATACTTACGACCATTCGTCA